AACTGGTTGAAGACTGTACCACCTCAGTCAACCGTGACCATGGGACCTGTAAAGGGCCCGAAACGTCTCGGTTTGTTTGAAAAAAACAAATATACGCGATTTAAATCCGGAAAAATAGTTTCATTTCCTATGTGTAACTATCGCGAAAACCTAAGAACTCCATATACTATACTACTGTCCTCATCATAAACAACGTAATCGACATTTTTAGCGACCTTGAGTTATTAACATGATCTGGAATGGGCGAAACGATATCGACGACCCCCTCTCATCGGTTTTTTGTATCTTATTTAGTTTCAGTTTTATTGTTGGGCAAAATCACCGTAATGGACATTTTTCAAAGAAAAAAAGGTGTCAATATCTCGAAAGTTACCAAAATCCAAATGCGTTGTTTATGACAAGGAGGGCAGTACAGATAACCTGCTTTTTGATTTTCAACTAATGCCTTATAGTTATTAAATTCACATTTATCCCAGAACTTTAAAGTTGCCCAGCGGTTTAACGATACGCCGCGCCACCCGCTGGCCCGTCAGCCGCGAGTGGCGGCCTCCACTCCTCACCCCCTAAAATCTAGACTCACGTTCAGATACTTAGCGTTAAATGAGTGTGTGACTGCGAAGTCGACCATCATGAACAGCCAGTAAATTTTTATTCCTCGTACTAAAGTTGTGTCTGTGACTAATAATAATAAAAAAAATATTGTTCTTCTTAACACAAAAAACATTTTCATAAATGTACCGTGACGCAGGTGTGAGGATGTTGATTTCTTTGACATTCTCTCTCAAAGACACTCTGGGGGCCATGTTGCAAATTGCCCTTTTACGAAAAATAGTTAATCTTGTTTAATATATTTGGAGTAATGTACTTTAAATATGTATTAAATATTTTATTAATTTGTTTCCACACTACACACACTCTTAATTGTATGTATATATTGCAAAGATTATGTAAGTATTTATTCTTACTATATTATACACACTCATGACATAAGTAAAGGTGTACCAGAATCTGATGGCAGTTAGACAAGTTGAAATTTGTAGTGGGCAACATCAATATAGTAGGGAAAAATGTACTAGATACTTCATATATTTTATTTGGCCAAGATTGATCTATCCTCGTACATGTTTTAAGATCTGTTTGAATTTGTGTGTAAGAGAGGTAAGTAATTTCTGATACATTTTCAAATTAAACAAAAATATATCAATTAGATTGTGGGTGATAGATTTATTTACGTTCGCAGTTTGAAGTAACTCGCATTTACGTCATTTATCTTTTTTTTCCAACCAATCATTGTCTACACACTGTAGTCTCGCAGATCAGTAGGTACCAACAAAAATTACGTACCACATATATTAATTTGGCTTCGTTAAAAATTCAAAGATCAAGTTTATTTACTCCTACTAATCGGCAAGACTTGAGACCTGGTTGTAAATCGTGAATTGTGACTTAGATGCACCTAATTCGTCGCTGATTTTGCGATAAACAATATTACAATGTTTTTTGCTTGAGATTGAAGCGGATTTTTTTAAATTATTGCTACAAAAACGTTATTTTAAAATGAAAAAAGTTTAGCAGACATTCATTTGACACAAGTAATATTTTGGATTGACATGTGACAAGTTAACATTGCCAGGTGAAAATTGTTCGATATTTCTAATATTTAATGCCATGAGATTCTGGTACACCTATATTTACGTAGTTTATTTTATTTTCTGTTTCGGGACGCATACGTCCGTTCTCACTCGGCTAGGGCCCATTGAAAACCAGCGTCACAACCTAGCCTTGGTTGTGACGTTAGCTGAATGGGATCGTTTTGTATACGCCACAGCCGCACACAAATGTCAGTATAGTATTACGTAACTTGGTGTTTAAATATTTCTACGCTGTTTATTGTGTTATTACTGTTGTAGTTATATTAGTCTTTGTTTTTGTGTTTTTTTAAATAATGTGGCGTTACAATAGATGGTTTCTATAACTAGTTGAAGTAAACCAATCTAGCGGTATAAAATGTAGTTAACAACAAATCTTAATCTATTTTTTATTTTAAAATGTCACATTGTCATTTTAAAAATAGTTTTTTGGCGAGCACTTTAAAGTTTTAAGCTAATAATTCATTGTCAAATCGCAAAAGTCTTGTATTTAATCGAGAAAATACCAAAACGACCTGCATCTTTACAAAAGCTGTCGAAGGCTATTGCAGTTAGGTTGGAATATGTAACCTCATCCAGCGTATATGCCCAACATAGCACCTACAGACTTTTGCTTGCTTCGGCCTTCATATATTTTTTATAGATGTCATAATGGACGATTTAAAATGGAAATTTAACAGCGACAATAGAGTGGTCAATATCAAAACTTCTACATAAATTGTAAGATCCTTTTCAAAAATTTGTCCACTCCCGGAAGCCAGTATTAATAGTTGAAGGGCAAGCTTTCAACGGCCGGCGGAATGTTCACGCAGAAGAGTTATTTTTATAAATAGCGCCTAAATTTTATAGGGAGCAATTATTTTAATGGTTAATTTTGCCATGCTCCAATTGAAGGCGATTTTCTCTCAATATACTTTAGCAATGAGCACCGATTTTTATTATATCCTGTATTAAGTCTCGTATAGTAGCAACTAGGGGAACCGATTTCAATATAACTTGGCAAATAGATGTTAATAGTTTCACGAACTTTTGAAGTCGGTTTTTTTAGTACTCTGTACAGAGATTATTATATATGTCATAATGGACGTTGGTCGGATACTTCTAGGATAGACCTCGTACAAGCTGAGATAGAAAGAGAACTTAAATAATAAAAACTGCCACCAAAATCAGAAAGAGAAAACTAACTTGAAAATTACCCATATAGTTGTCTATGTATCTGCATGTGTCTGTGATATCATAGCTCCCAAGCCAATGGACTGATCATCGTTTTTCTATTTGCAAGCCAGTTGAATCAGGAAAGTTTTTTTCCTTAATGACAGTCACTAGACTTGGCCAGTATCCAGGCCTGGGAATGACACCTGGGATCTCTGCACCTGCATGGTAACCGTTCAGCCACAGAGGCAGCTAAATGAGATTAATATAATGACAATGGCACAAATTCCAATTTTCGATGGCACGTCCGAGATGCGGCATCTAAAATTGGAACTGCAGAATGAACCACGTTAACCACAGTTACGGACAATATTTGAAAGAAATGATCTTTAAAAAATATCAAGAATGGTTTTTTTATATGATAAAGATAACCCGATAAATTTGTTTTTATTAGATTTTTTCAGTTTTGAAAAAAGTAACTCTAAATGAATCACCCGTTATAAAGGTACTGACACCCTTCTTTTAGATTCCCATTGGATTAGGCGGAGACTATTGATCGGGACTTAGCTGGATCCTTACAAACCACTCTTACTTGACTTTCATTCACAAATCATAATACATGTCCTCTTATTCTTTTGACGATGCACTCCAGGCTTTTTAAGAAAACTCTCAATTTGATCTGAGAATGCTGTTTGTGACTGTCTTCTTCCAATGCTAGGGTTGGCGGACTAAAGCACATAAGTGCTACGCTCTTAATAATATTGCACACACGCACTCATTTAACATAACCCCGCACTAAGGAAGACCTGTGTCATGGGTGCCATGGACGCACACAGACATCCACAAATTATACCCAAACTCACGAGATAAATAAATGTAGGCCATACAAATATTTTTCCCGGCCCGGAATCGAACCTGGGACCTCTGCGTGGCATGGTTACCGTTCGGCCACGGAGGCAGTTAAATAAATAAATAATTATATATTTTTTGTATTGTTGTAATGTTGAAAGATGTGAAGAAAATGATAATTTGAAGACTCCACTAGAATTTAAGTTACAAATTAATGAAGTAAGAAATTAATTTGATTTGTGTGCTTTAGTTGGTAGATGTATTAAATAACCGACTTCATAAAAAGGAGAAGGTTCTCCACTCAAGTGTATGTTTTTTTTTGTATGTATGTTACTCAATAACCGATTTTGATGATTCTTTTTTGTTGGAAAGAGGGTACCTCAGAAGTGGTCCCATTTAAATTTGAAGAAAATATTCCACCTCTAAGGATGGCAAACTAGAGGATGAATGGCTTGAGGTCCGTTTTTAGTACTATGTACTGTTTTTTTAATTGGACAATATTGGTTTTCAACTTGTGCTTTAGGGCACCGAACCTAGATGACTCATTCCATGTTAGCTCTATATAATCTACATCATCCACTCTATATTCCATACATAAAGAGAACTAATAGATGCAATAAAAATAATAATAAAATGAATTCTGATTAATTATAGCAACATTCTAAAAAAGAAGCAATTCCAATTTCTTTACAGCAGGTCCATCAACATCCACGAGGATTCTGCCAATATTTGGGTTAATAATTACTATGTACAGTAGTTTTGTATAAATAACAAAAAAATGGTAAAGTTCTAGAAAATTGTAAAGAAGCAACACACTAATAAACCAGTACAGTAGAAAAGTAATAAACCTGCATAGTAGAATAACGGACGGGTAAGTTGGGTAAGACGGGTAGAAACGACGTCACGACGAAAACAGTGGGGGTACAATGACGTCATGACTAAAAATTCAGTCAATCGCACAAAAAAACAAAAACAAAGCGCAAAATAATAGAAAACTTTTACCACAATTACCGTTCAAATAACGAAGAAACCAATTTTTGCCATTTCTACGATGTACCTACATAAAATTGTGCGCTATTACAAAGTTAACCACAAAAACCACTATCGCAAAATTTAGTAAAAAAATTAAACATTAGGTCCTATTAAAACACTTATAACACACACGAATACATCATTAACACTATATTTGCCGCAAAAATATAATTAATAAACTGATTTTGTTGTTAAAAATTAACAAGAAATTTTTAGGTTAGAATGATCAAGCAGTTTGTACGGGCGGCATGAATGTATTTTAAATTGTATTTTTACGGTAAATAAAGTTGGAATGCTCTAGAAATTATTATATGTTACCTGTGAATCTTGTATTTGTGCATGGCAGTGTACATTGCCTAGTTATTTTGTACGGGCACTGGGTGACAGTCTAGTGATGACATGACAGTGAAATAGATTGTCACAAAAGAATGTGATTTCACCGCAATGTGCAGGGTGGTGGTGTAATTTAATTCTCCCTGAAAATTGGTAAAAGGTATATTGCTCCTAAAATTCCTGTTCTTCGTAAAGCTACATGCGAGAGGCGACTGAAAAGTACTTTTGATTATTTTCAGTTCAAAAGTATACAGGCCACTATCGTGACGTATTCTTTTTTTTTAATTAGTGACACTCTTTTGTCAATACGTTTCGATTTAAATGGACAAAATGGCGGAAGAAAAAGCCAAATTTATACGACTGAGCAACTTTTTGTTAAAAGTGTACCTAATGTCCCTTTCTATCAATTATAATAAATGCATTTTCTATTTCAATGTGTACATTTCATACTGAAAAAAGTAGCCATAGTCGTCTTTTATTGTATACTTTGGTAGATTACTTTTCAGTCGGCCCTAGTACGATCATATACTTCAAAAGTGCTTTTATCAAAAGAAAGTCATAATAATATACAAACTATATAATACAAAATTAAAAATTTTAACTCTTCTATTTAAACTTGTTTATCCTATTTATCTTCAGCATACAAAAGTTATCGAGTAACTTCGTTTGTACATTCTTCTATCGTCTCTTCTGAAAAGTTGTAATTTTGGTCGAAATTGCACACGCCAGCACATCAAGCTACACATTGACTGTCTTGTTCTAGATTTTCGAACAAAAATGTGTAATCTGACGTGCCATTGTCCGTAAAGTGTAAAAATACGTCAAACTTTATTAACCTAAGATTTATTTGTGTTTAAATTCAATTGTATATGATAACAACCGCCCAAAGTGCTAAAGTCGACCGTGCAGTTTAAAATAATATTTTGATTTTAATTACTTTTATCCAATAAAAGGGTTCTTAAATTTTTTTATTTCACTCGTCAAGGTAATTAAATGTGAATTTCAAGAAATTAACTCGTCTCGCCAGTAGACGGCAATAAAAAAGTTGAAAAGAAAGCCACATGACTAAAGAGTTGGCAACTTCGTGTATGATGGAAAATCAAAAAACACACTCTGCGTTTTACGTATCTATTTTTTTAAATGACTTATTCTTAGAATAATAACGCATAGAAACCTAGCCCTAACACGCTAAGTGAGGCAAATTGAAGCGCTCCCAAAGGGCCTACACGAGCGGGCGGGCCTTCAGTGCTCAAGGTCAACTTGCACCGCGAACAGCTTCAGAATTTCAGCTAAAAATTACGAAATGTGCGGTAAATGAGTGTAAAAATACGTCAGACAAACATAAAATAAATACTAACATCACATTCCACAAGGAAGTAACGCTTTTCAACTTGTATTTTTATATAAATATTCACTAAAACCGAAAATTAACCTACTACTAACACTAGCCTACATGCATTTGATTTTTGCCTCACTTGTGACAGTTTGTTTGATACGAAACTATCATTCTATGCGTTATTATTCTAAGGACTTATTAAAATCACTTCACTTCACGCAAATGTTTTGCGACACAACGACGAATACGCTTGCGTCAAAAATAGCATTAAGATTTTTTCAGTTACTTTAAATTTCATTATCAAAGTAATTAAATATGAGCGTCAAAAAACTAGTCAGTCTATGGAACTAATTGATATTTTTTATATTGACGTGTTATTTCGTCGGTTAACAAAACCCTATTATTGGACTGTCGGCTCAATCTTATACTGTTCTCTGTTGTAATTTTTTTTGTTATTTAACAAAGCCCTAAGTCAGTTACAGTTTTATTCCAATTAATGTTTATTTTAAGTACACAACTACGTGTTGACTTTTTTAATTATTTGTACGTTCTTAAGCTGATGGCTCTGTAGCCAATGTTCAATCAATAAATAATAATACAAAGCCTTACAGCACATAAAACGGCACAAGTCAAGGAACGTAAATTCGTTTATTAATAGAGTTGTGACGCACTTCATGTAACGATTTTTAGTGTGGTAATTTTATAGCTCAATTTATTGCTAAAATTTAACAATGTTCATCGATTTGTACTCTTCAGTAATCTACATAGTTTCGCAACTATAATCACGCTAGCAACTTTGATCGTCAATGGATCATTCATGAGTAACAATTGAAATGGTTGCTATACCGGCTTATTTGTACAGATGTATACCTATGACTCAATCATTCAGTAATTCAGTAACAAACGACGCGTTTCGCACTTTGTTTGATCAATTGTTCTGTTTTTAGGCATTTTATTAAAACTGCAATTGGTTTTGGTATACAACGAATAATAGTACTTATGCATTAATTACGACTACAAGGACAGAGTACATTTATTCATAATGTGAGTAGATAAGTATGATATCAGGTTCAAAAAATACCTGCTATATTTTATTAAATTGTCCGTAATAAATCGTTCTTCTTCTTATCATAACGTATCGATGGCTATACCTATATGTTGCCGAAGGAGCACCACGCCAGACGCACGGAATAGGAATGGTTCGTCTTTATTGGAGGCTCCTTTTTTGTACCCCTGGTTAATGAGCAAGCATAGTTTCTTCTTCAACACCATTTTTATCTGGAAACGAATCAATTTGCCTTGGTAACCTTAAGTATGTTCTGATACACAAATCTAAAACAATTTCCAATTAAAAGCTCAGAAATTGCTAGTTATAAATGTATTTAAATATTTTGCCGACAATTTTACAGCCGTTGGCGTGTTTATGCTAAAAATAGTTGAAAAATGTATAATACAAAAGTAAGAGTACAAAAACTAATTTACTTAGCATTCACAATTACTCGGAACAAACCGGAGCTCCTTCTCACTTGCCAATGCCTCAATGTAAACATAAATAATTATTTCCGACCCACCATAGCCAGAAAAGAAAACAAAAAAAAGTTTGTCAAGAATAGTGTTGCCTGGTGGTTAAATTTCTTATATTTTTTTGTAATTTGAGTTCTCACATTGTTTTAAAAGCACTTTTCGTAACGTTTGGGAACGTTGAGATTTTTCAAATTCATAAATACAAACACACCCAATTAGATAATAAAGTAACTGAGAGATGACTTGATTTTTCTTGAACGTACTTACTTTTCCATTTTCAAAGAACCATTCACTACCTGCATGGCAGTCTGCCGTGCAGGCAGGAGACTATGGGTATGGAGTCTCGCAAAATGCATTGCAGGATGGTTTGCACGCTACGATTATGATTCATAATCCTGCTTTACGCGGCGGAGTGCAATGCAATCCTGCATGAATCCATTAATGAATGCCCCCTATTAGGAATTAGGCGTAACATTTGCAGTTACATTTCTTAATTAAAAAAACAATGTAATTCAATATGTGTGGTGCAACTGAAATGTTACTTTCTGCTTTCCCGACACTTTCATTGGCTTAATGTGAAGGCAATGCCATTAAAATAAAAACTTATCAAGTAACGAAATGGAATTTTCGTCTGGGCCCTGGCAGCACCGGTCAAAAAGTCATTATTTGACGCCTTTCTGGCGTATAACATTTGCTGTGAAAAATCACGAATATTACATCAAAATCCATATCACTAAGTGTATAAACAACTTATACGGTGTTTTCCATTATACACAATCATGGACGATGAAGAAGAGATGTTAATGGACCCTCCAGATCCTGACACGACTTGTAACATTTGTAACGCCGAGTTTCTGGACCCAGAAGACTTGGCCGTCCATTTGACGCAAGTACACGTAGATGAGGACCTAATACACCCTTATGTGACTTTATGTCAATTTTGCTCGGCAGTTTTTACGAACGCGGGCGATTATGTGACCCATTTGACCGATACACACTTGGCCAGTGTTAGGCGTTGCAAATTCTGTACTAGAGCCTTTACAGACTATAAGCAGCTACAGAGACACGAAAGTAAACATCCTATTTATAAAAAGAACATGTTATTCTCATGCTCACAGTGTAACAAGGTTTTTAACGAAATTTCTGAATTAGAACAGCACGAATTCACGAAACATGGCGAAATCAAAGAAGGAGTGTTTTTAAACCGCTATTACTCGCTCCTTTCTTCCGTTTTAAACATAAAAGCTGTTAAATTTCTCCATTCGTTGGGCACGGACACTTCCTACTTCTGTACTAAATGCGGATACAATTCCAATGATGTTATTAACTACATAAAACATTTACAAATAAAAAATTGTGTATCGTTGGTCTGCAATACATGTTCCAACGTGTATAAAGACAAAAGTAGTCTCTGGAGACACTTGCAGGATCACAAAGAGTGTTGGATAGATGCTACTGATCAAGACATGGAGAAAAAATGTCAAGCGTGCCATAAGATGGTCAAAGTTGCAAATTTAAAAAGTCACCGTAAAGAATGCAAGGTCATCAAATGTAGTATATGTAAGGTTATACTCAGTTCTATGTACGAGTTGTCAGAACATCAGACAAAAGCACACCCTATGGCTATAATGATGAAGTTCTGTATGCTGTGTAATAGAGAATTTGTTGGGACTGTTGCTTTAGAGAAACATATAAATCGGTCACATAAAAAGCATTTCCATTTATATAAATATAAATGTATGCAATGTGATAAGTATTTCAAGCATCCTAAAGAGTTGTTCGCTCACTATTTTTCAACGCATCGAGATCTGCACCCGTATTCTTGTAAGATGTGCGATAAGAGGTTTAGAATACGAAAAGCTTTTACTCTACATATTAAAATGGAACATAAAAGTGAGGGATATGTGGAATTTGATGAAAACTATCATGTTTTCTTTGCTGCAGAAAAGTCTGCTAACCCATTTCAACCTACAAGTTTTTTCCAAAATGACAATGAAACCAATGAAAATGTTACAGAAACAGAAGTAGAACAAACAGATGCTGAAGTGATGCAAGTTCCGGAAACAACTGATGCAGAAACAGATATTGAGAAAATAAAGACTGACAACCGTAAACATCCCAAAATGAGGTTTAAACAACCTAGAAAAGATGTTAGTCTACAATCAGATTTTTTGAACAGCGAAGCAGAAAATCGAACTGAAAATGAAACTAATAGAAAGGCTAATAACATGAAATTAATAGAGAAACGAATTACTCGAAAGCGTAATAGGAAAATAATTCAGAAAAGTTTAAAAAAACGACGCACCACATTCAGTGAGAATTTTTCCGAAGACGAACCATTGAGTAAACTGAGACACGTTTCAAGAAAATCTAAATCATATAACCGTAATGTATCACTCAAGAATCGTAAACTGACTGGTCGTAATAAAAAGAGATTTACTTGTGAAATTTGTAATGAATATTGCTACACATTCCAGAACTACAATCATCATATAAGCACCCACAGTAATAGGGAAGAAAAGAAATGTATTAAATGTTCAAAACGATTTAAAAGTAACGATGACTTGACTAAACATATGAAAAAGAAACACTCAACATCGAAACTAACTGAAACATTAAAAAATTTACTTGAAAGACGTAAATTGGGTAAAAATAATCCAGTGCCACAGCTAACTATGCAGGAAAGGTTCAAAAGAACAATCAAAATGGTGAAAGAGCAGCCTGTTACTGAAGTGGCAAAGTTAACAGAAGTCCCGGACAAGTTATCAGTACAGAAATTTATCGAAAGCTTTACTCCAGAAGAGAATACAAAAAAACCAGAAGTACTCATCAGCACCAGTGTTACTATCACACCTATTAACCAAACAATTTATAAACAACCTCTGATAAAAATGAAAAAATTCACTCCACTGCAAGAAAAGAATACTAAACAGGTGAAGTTATCCATGCCTGTGCGTTACAAACAAACAAATACCGAACAATATAATGTAAGTGTACGATTGATACAAAAACCTTTTCCTTCAATCAACGCATCAGTTACTCAATCTGAAGAGCTCTCTGTTAGAGACTATGAATCACACAATGAATTCATTGATTACGAAGAAGAAATAGACAGTCATGATAAAAATGTTCCGGATGTAGCTCAAGAAATCATGTTAGAAGAAGAAAAACCCAGAGTGATACCGCATAAATTGGTTATTCCAAAGCTGGAGAAAACTGAATTGAAAGAAATGCGTATAGCACACTTGTTACCAGAAGCACCATACTTCAAAATAGTAAAAATGAAAGAGGTGTTAGCTCAAAAAGCTAAAGAAAAAGAAGTATTACCAGACCCAAAAGAAGAACTACCAAAATTACCTGACGGTACAAAACTAGTTAACGTAAATCCTCTAGCGCATCTGATAGGCAATAAATCAATAGAAAGCATAGTGGGACCAGCAAACAAATACAGGCCAAAATCAAGGGATAGTTTCGAAAGAGCTATAGCACAAGCTCTGCTTAAATTGGACAGTCCTTTACCAATGAGGACGGTGAAGCGACGTGGTAAAAGAGATTTAACTTCTACCGTTGAAACTTAGTTTGTAGATGGAATGTCTATTTACAACCAGTCTCTCTAATTTTTTCACAGTTACACGTTTACGTTCGTAAAATGTTACAATTGACAATTAGACTTCACATGGTGACCATTGACCTTGATTAATTCAGGTTATATGTACCTGTACAATTGTATTTTTATGCTAGTTTCAAATATTATGCATATCAATGTTCTGTTAAGAAAGCCGCGCTTTGGTAATACACACAAGAATTGGACTTTGCCGTTCATATTTTTGCGACAATACAAAGAAATGACAGCAGTTCTTGGGTGGCTAATGTTCCAAAAATTACAAATCTATGACCTGTATTAACTAAAATTAGTAGCCATAGAGATCAAAGAGTTCGTCCAGGGAAGTACTGCCACCCTACCTATTTGCATTACCGGTTTTGCTTTCTGCATTACTGCGTTCCGGTACAGGCACATGGGTCTTGTCGACTTATGTCTTAGGGTGACATTTAAACCACTGCAACTGTTATGCACGGCGTGTCGCTTACATTAAGGCACACGTCTTGTTCGTCCCGTCACTATCATAAAGTTCTTTTTACTACTTTTGTCATTGAAATTGCGACTTCACGTCATAATCTTAAGGTATATTACTTTTCGTCACCTAAACCTTCACATCCCGCCAGTAGGCCAGTCCGAAACTAAAGCAGTAGGCCTGAGCCAGTTCGAAAAAGCTTGCCCGTGCAATAAGAGCGAAAAAGACAATGCACTTTTTCTGGCCAACTTAATGTTATACTGTGACAATCAGCGTAGTGATTTACTAAATCATATCTCACCTTAATACATAACGTCGGCGATGGTGCAAATCCGCGTATGTAGTAGTGGTAAAAAGCGCATATCTGAACAAAACCAAATTTCACAGAGGGATTTAACATTATAACTTTGTTATTTCAATGGCTACGACTCATTTTTGCACAGTAAGCATTAATTTATGTTGTCTACGGACTGATAATAATAGATTCCCGTAAATCACGCTAATTTGGATGCCACGACGATTTGGCGACTAAATTACCGAAATGGAGACTCAATCAAATGCTATCCTTGATGATGAGTTGAATGAGCCTATAGTGTCACTTCCTCTTAGCCTTTAAAACTGGAACGCAGTAATGCTTACATTACTTGCTGTCAGAAGTACATATTATGGTGACAGTACTTCCCGGGATTAACTCTTTCACAAGAATCTTTACTTTTAATGTTCGAGTGAATCTTGAACGATACTCCCTTATGCCGTGTTAACGAGTGGTTCACATGCGTTTTTCGCTTGCTTCCGTAACTCGCGTCACACATACGCAAAGATCTGTCGCGTACGCGCAGGCAGGACTCTTCACGAGTCTTGCATTGCGTTGCGTGAGCTTGATATTTTCACGCAAGCAACAGGGAACGTTTACGGAGGACAGCACCACTGGCCAATCACAGAGCAGCAGGAAGTGCACGCGTCCCCAAGACTCCTGACCGCCTTAACGCGGAAAGCAAATTTCTACACCGTGTACCCAGTCTACGCAAGCAAGCGAAACACGCAAGTGTAAGACGCGCCATCAACGGATTTCGGATATTTATTTCTATGAGCTTAAAAATACCTACCTTTGGCGATCATGCTTGTATTTAAATGTCCAAATGCGGCAGTTTTGCACTGGTAAAATAATTTGTAGAGTTAAAAACCTATTATTGTTTATTTGAAACTCTTTAATTAGTAGAATATAAATCAATAGTAAAGTAATTATGAATATTATATAGGTTGTAAATTATCTAAATTGTGGTTTTTTTTTCCGTGAATAACCATCACAATAGATTTGATTTTCATATTTGTAAACTAAATTGATGAAATGATGTTTTTTACTATGTATCCAGAGTATGAAAATAACTTTGATGCATTTTAAGTAGGTTGCTTTGTTTTAGAATAAATAAAATTAATGACAAACACGTATTTCATTTGAATAGAGTAGAAAAGTATAGTTAAAAAAATTTGTCAACTTTAATTGAAGTGGGTTAACTGAATTTTCAGGGTATCCAAAAACCGAATTCATCCTCTAATTTGCTATCCTTAGAAATGGAATATTTTCTTGAAATTTGAACGGGAAACACTAAGGGACGATATCGTATCAAACCAAAATACAAGTCCCAGTACAGTGTTTTGTAATTTTATTACAATAACCATCTTTCGGATTTTATGAAGAGAAAAAATATATAAATTTTACAATAGAAATAGCCTATTTTGCGATATATCTCATGTACAAAGTAAATTAAATGATATATTTTTGTTATTAACTTCAAAAACCAAAAAAAAAACGAAACATCCTTTTTGCAGTTTTTTCTTAAAGTGTGTTTGTATGTTACGCGATAACTCCAGCCGAACCATAAATAAAATTTGTGAACCGTTTTTGATGAATCTTTTTTTTGGAAAGAGGGTACCTCAGGGTCGTATTCTAGAACTCTACTCAATGCTCAAGTCAGGATTTGAGTATGGTTTAAAGCACTCGAAATCACACTCAAGTCCCTGCCATTAGGGTCGTATTTCCAGTGCAATCCTGACTTGAGCATTGAGTAGAGTTCTAGAATACGACCCTCAGTAGTGGTCTCGTTTAAATTTAAAGAAAATATTGTACCTCTAACGGTGGCAAACTAGAGGATGAATGACTTTTGAGGTCGGTTTTTTAGTACTCTGTACTGAGATTATCGATATTAAAGTGCTTACTTTGACACTTATTGAAGGTACCTTTGGGTACCCCTGTCTAACAAGAAACGAATAATTGAAATCGGTTCACAACAACATACCCAAAAAAATACAATCGAATTAATAACCTCCTGCTTTTAAGAAGTCGATTGAAAAGTCCACAAAAGCTAAAAGTAGTTTGGTATTCAAAAATAAAAACTCGTGAAAAGTGGACAAAAATAAGTAAACGTGAATTATGTGTTAATGACCATAGGTCGGAAAAAGGTGTTCCACATATATTGATACAAGTAAAGACATAAGTACAAAGAGCGACATAAAACCACCAAATATTACTTAACGTATTTTATCGAATTCCGGATTTCCGGAAATGGTTCTCCTACATTGCAGGTTAAACTACTGACCAAAGGAATCAAAGTTGGATTTTAAGTAATCCTAATGGTGCCATGTAAAAAAATGCAGTAGATAACTGACAGCCTTGTTGCCGTTCCGTCAATATGCGAGGCGCAGTGCGGTATCTAAAGCTAGAGGGGCGGAGAGTGACCATTCTCATTACTTTTCATTCACATTATTCTCTGCTTTAGTAAAGGTCAGATATATATAGACATAAAATTAGTTTGTAACACACAATGCCATATACAGACACGCATGTTTGTTAAAGTACAAAAAAAAATTTTAAAATCAATATTTGAATCATATTACAATACGAGAAGAGAAGACAAGAAGGAAGAAAAAACTGACTTCTTCCATTTCATATAAAAGAGGAAATAATTGATATCCATGGCCATTTACATAATACAAACTACTATAGTGTATTCCAATAGAATTGAGAGTGGACGTAAACAAACCAGTTGGGTTAAAATTCTGGAGAAATCACTTCTGGATTTTTATCTTATTTGATTTATATATTTTTATCATATTCTGGATTTATGTCCACTCTAAATTCTATTGTGATACACTATAGTGTATTCCAATAGAATTGTTTGTTTACGTCCACTCTCAATTCTATTGGAATAGACTATACCAGGCTATTGATCAGCGTCATCTAATTCCAAGACGGAATTTTGAGTCGAGAGATGGGACGATATCGTCGGGGATAGGGAAAACCCGCATATGTAGTAATAGCATAGGTAAGTGGTGGTACCTGCACCAAACCAAATCTAATGTGAGGGATTTAACGTTATTACTTTGTTATTTCAATGGCTACGACTTCCATTTTTGCACAGTAAGCATAATTTTATATTGTCTACGGACTGATAACAATACATTCCCGTTAATCACGCAAATTTGGTTGCCACGACATTTACTCAGATTTGATTGGACAACTAAATTACCCAAATGGAGACTCATAATCAAATGCTAGTTACGCGTAATTGCGCTAGCCCCGACGATATAATCCAATGTTATATTTCAATTTGAATTCCAGTGAAATGAAAAAAATTGAATAAATCAAAAATAATTTTATTACAATCCAAAAAAAAAACATTTACTTACATTGGAAAACTTAGAATGAATATTAACAAATTACTTAAAATAAGTGGTTTGGCAATTTAACAGTGAACGATCATACAACTCGCGATACTGCCGCTGCAACACTAGACATCTGCCGCGCGGCAGTTAACCTCCTAAGACTCGGCAAACTACAATGAGAAAAGCGGTAAACGCCCAACATTACAATATTTTAAGTATATTAAATATCACGTTGTCTTACTACTATGATATTCAATATTTTTTTGTGAAATAACTGCCACTAGTTATAATTATTAACAAAAAATTCGAATACAAAGAAAAATTCATTCGATACGGCTGCACGCGAACCAGCGCCTTCATCATACCATGGTTAATCTCCCAACAGAGCTACGGAACGAACCAGCAGACCTTATAAATTTTTCTATGTATTTGTTGCAGATCTATATTTTTTAGGTTTTAACGACTTTTTTGTCATAGCGCCATGTGTGAGAAATCTATGAAACTATAAATAAGTACATGCTTAAGGCTCAAGTAGGTATGCCCTCAAGTTTTACGGTCATATAACACCTCCGGTGATACAGTGCCTTCACTTACATTTCGCCGCCCTACTTTCTCAAACTCGTATCTTAAAGCACAGTTACTGAAATGTTAAAAATGCATTGTATATACAAATTTTGCAGGCTGATTTCATTTCCTTCATATTTATGTACTGGTTTTTACCTATTCTTAAAGTAATGCATCCAAATTAACATCCTTGATAAGAAATTTAAAATAAATAGAAATGTTTGCCATCTCTGAATAATCACTCTTTATAAGGTACGATTTTGAGAAAATAAGGCATCGATTTGTAAAATTTACAGAAAATGAATGAAAAGTTTTGTATTTAGGGCTAATGAGTACATTTCAAGGGCTCTTAAGTGTTATACTGTTTCAATACGCATCACACCCTCTATATAAAAATAAAGTAATGTATAATACGTCTTACTTTTTCCGTTTAAATTACATTTTAAAAATGGTTTGTGATCACAATTTTTTGCACTTATGTCTGTGTTTTACCGGAGGTGTGATATATCGAAGATATAGCGCAAAATTTTACGTTATCATAGAAATATCGTCTGAGTTCTAAAACCACTTCTATTATGTACACAGGGCCTTAGGAGGTTAAGCGCAAACAGACATTTAATAGTAAATTATTTACCTTTCAATACCTTATGTACTAATTTAGATTCTAAATAATCTAGCCACTAAAATTCATTTAAATCCGTTTAGCCGTTTCGACGATATAAGGTAACAAATATTCATCCAAACTTTCTCATTCAAACCCATCGAGTACATAACCAGAAGTAGAGACGAAATAAGGGCCCATCCCTGGCAACTCATCCTTATGTCACTTTTAAATATTAACTCTCGTTTGCGCTGAAATCACAAATTAGAAAGCTGAAATAGTACAGCGCCAACAATTGACCTGTGTGTACGTCTCGTATATACCAAAATTCTGTATTTATTGTAATAAAGATAACATCTGTAACTGTGGGGGATTCTTCCATTCGGTGGTGTGGGAAAAACAGCAAAACATCCAATTGCAAAACAAACGGAATCAAATTTCATCGGTAATTAAATATTAAAAATATAATTATTAAATTGTTGTCCATTATAATAAAGTTCAAGTTAAATAGTCGATTTGAAGTGAAACAATTGACGACTCCCGTCAATTGTTTCGAATTCGGGCTGGCCAATCAGAGCGCAGTTGTCACCGTAATGATTCGGCAGAATAGTTTTCAAACAAATTAAATGACTTTTCGTCTCAATATCTGATTATATACCCGATGTTCCAAACATAGTACAGGCCTACCGCTAAACTGAGTCGGTTCCTGAGGTAGCTGCGCGGTGCGGGAGGAGTGACAGCAGATGTAACAGTTATGTCGCACTGCACACGGAATAATTCAACAAGATTCTTCTGACGACATTCAAGTTGATTGAAAAAAAATGCCTACCAAATTAGTCAATAATTGTTATGTGAAACGATAATAAAAAAAACAAGCCTAGCGTTGGGTCATGGAAAAATTTCAATTTTTTTTTGCAGTTATATTTTTCAGAAAAATAAGTATTTTTCCATATATGACGTTGACACCTGTCAAAAGTTGAAGTTACTGAACGAAAAGATGAAGCCAATAACAAATGGTAGTGGTGTTTTTGGTTTTTTCGCTGTTGTAAAATAATTTTAAATCTCGTTTATCTATTACGTGGCTTTTGGATATACAAGTTTATTTTATAATTTACGCTAAATAAAACTTTAAAAGATATTTATAAACGTAGAACATAATATGAGCCTTACAAATTTATATTTTTCAAAGTTCTTGGGAATTTTTCCGAAAAAAATTCCACTATTTGATTTCGGAAAATTACCCAACAGTAGACAAGCCATTTGGCACTTTTTTCAATCAACATCTTATTGAACATCGTCAGAAAAATCTTGTTCATATTACCCCGTGTGCAGCGCGACATAACTGTTACGTAAACCGTCACTCCCCCGCACCGCGCAGCTACCTCAGGAACCGACTCAGTTAAGCGGTAGGCATATAGAACAATAATGTTGTGTGCGGCAGTTGTTGCTATTGCGACGTGTTGGGGCGCTTTCAAAATAGACCTCTGTAGAAACGAAAGTAAAAAATAGTAATGTTTATTTGCTTTAATAGTACATTGTGGT